CAAAGAGAAATTTATTCTCTCACAGTCTAGTAGGCTACAAGTCCAAATTCAGGGCATCAGCTCCAGGGGAAGGCTTCTCTCTCTGTTGGCTCTGGAGAAAGGTCCTTGTCATCAATCTTCCCCTGGTCGAGGAGCTGCTCAGGCACAGGGACCTCAGGTCCAAAGGATGCACTCTGTTCCTGGTGCTGCTTTCTTGGTGCTATGAGGTCCCCGACTCTCTGCTTGCTTCCCTTTCCTTTTAGCTCTTGTAAGACAAAGGTGGTGCAGGCCACACCCCAGGGAAACTCCCTTTACATTGGATCAGGGATGTGACCTTAGTAAGGGAGTTACAATCCCACCCTAATCCTCTTTAACATAAAATTACAATCACAACATAGAGGACAACCATACAATACTGGGAATCATGGCCCAACCAAACTGATACACACATTTTTTGGGGGACATAATTTAATGCATGACACTCATCAATAGTTGAATTCATATTATCACCACAAAAGTAATTTTCAATGTTTTGCTTTCTAACTGAATTTACAATAGCATTTACAATAATATCAGATGTTTCACTTTTGGCGGAATAAACCACCGAAAGCTTTAATTTGATTTCATGAACTGGGTGAGAAAAATCTAACCATTATTAGAATTAACTTATCTGATATTCTGTTTGAAGCATCTGATGACACAGGTATACATTTGATATTATTTAAAAGCTTGTGAAGTTGGCTATTGCTTCAGTTTTGTACCTGTATACAAACACACACATACACAAAACTTGGAATAGGAAAAGAGAGACATTAATTTGGAACATCAGTCATTTGATCTATCTAGATGAAATTTATGCTTCACTGAGTGGTATGAAAAACACCTTTGGCAGCTGCCTCTGTTAAATCATCATCTTTAGGCAAAATACATTTAAAATAATCACTCCTTTTAAAGTAGATGTGATGTTTATTTGTTTGTTTTCCAGGTTTCCTGTAGTATCAAACAGTGCCCATGGGAGGTGGTAAATATCTTATGAAAGTTATGCATTCATTATCAGCTTTCTTGAAAAAATGGGAAGTCAGTGCTTAATTTTTCATTGTACTTTTATTTTCTTGAGCTTGTCGCTGACAAGATTATATTTAAAAATAAGAAGTGTTACCAAACAATAAAATAAGTGGTCACAGATTTAAACTGCACAATAAATGACAGCACTCTTGTACTAAGTATATTTAGACTACTCTCTGTAAGCTCAGTGGTAGGCCTGTTTGGTTTCCATTTCCCCATACAAATTTCACATACTCCTAACCTATAATTTCCCGCATGTCCTACTGATCCCACTGACTTGTGGACTGACGGATTTGTGTATTTCAAAGGCTGTGGTTCAGCCCATGGCACAACTGGCTGGTCCACCAAGGGACTGGCATGGGCAGCATCATCAATACCTCCCCTGTAGTACTAGAGACCAAATGAGATAGCTGTCCGTAGCTGCTTCTATCAAAGCACACTTCCGCTTGTAAGTGAGCACCCTGTAAGTAGTCATTGAGAGGGAACAGTAGTTTAAGTTTTTTCAGAAAAGGGTCAGAAAAAGACAGAGAGGTTATCATTGGTTGTCTTAGTTTCCCAGGGCTACTGTGTCAGAAATACCACAAGTGGGTGGCCTTAAGGAACAGAAATTTATTTTCTCACAGTTTAGGAGGCTAGAAGTCCAAATTTAGGGCACTGGGTCTAGAGGAAAGCTCTCCATCATCTCTGGGGCAAGATCCTTGTCTCAGTTTCTATAGCCTGAGCATTCCTTGGCTTCTTGGCAATCCTCACAAGTGCTTCTGTCTTCCTCATTCTGTGCTTGCTTATCCCTGTGTCTACGCTGCTCTTTATATCACTCAGAAGTGATTAGGTTTAGGACACACTCTACACTGATATAGCCTCATTAACATAACAGAAAACCTTACTCCCAAATGGGAGTACATTCATAGGTACAGAATAAAGATTCCAATACATGTTTTTGAAGGGCACAATTCAATCTGTAACCCTGGTGAACGTTCAGATTTAACCATGCGTTAAAGTAAGAATTCTGTATGCAGACCATGGCAGAAACTGAAAGTATAAAGTGCAGGTGTATCAACCCCATTCTAGATAACTTTAATACACCTAATAATAAAAACATTTGATAACAAAATTTAAAAACAAGAACAATTACTAAATGACAGAGATGCTGGAAATAACAGTTAAAAACCAGGACTATCCCAGGCAAACCGAGATGTTGTAGAGACATCCTGTTCATACTCCTACTGAGACTCCAGAGGTTCTACTCCCTGATTGTGCCAATTTTGTAGAAAAGGTGCAATTCAGACTCCCCGCCCCCCTCAATAAGTGGGCATAGCTTTCTTGCTCTGAGAGCTACAGTCTTCCTCAGCTTCTTCAGCACTGTGACTGTTTTGAGGAAGAGTAGGCTACGTTCTCCTGGAGATGGTAGGTGTAAGATATATAACAATCTGCATGATATATAACATAGTAATTGCTGCATAATTGTTAGTTATTTTTTTAAATATACTAGTAACACTGTTCCCCACAGGCATGTTAGGTGAGTAGAAGATCTGCAGGAGGAATTCCTTGAAGCCAGGCTGGGAGGAGCTCTGGACTGTCTTTTCCTCTTTCTTAACCATATCTAGTATGTTATTTCATGGCTGGTAGGCAGCAATCACTCCTTACTGGGAATGGAGATGCCAAAGGCAGATTTGATGGCATTCATGAGAGGGTATCTTAGTCATCTAGTGCTGCTGTAACAGAAATACCACAAGTGGATAGTTTTTAACAAAGAGAAATTTATTCTCTCACAGTCTAGTAGGCTACAAGTCCAAATTCAGGGCATCACCTCCAAGGGAAGGCTTTCTGTCTCTGTCAGCTCTGGAGGAAGGTCCTTGTCATCACTCTTCCCCTGGTCTGGGAGCTTCTTAGCACAGGGACCCCAGGTCCAAAAAAAGTGCTCTTCTCCTGGCACTACTTTCTTGCTGGTATGATGTCCCCAGGTCTCTCTGCTTGCTTCTCTCTTTTATATCTCAAAAGAGATTGGTTTAAGACACAATCTAATCTTGTAGATTGAGTCCTGCCTCATCAACATAACTGCCACTAATCCCGTCTCATTAACATCATAGAGAGGATTTACAACACATAGGAAAATCACATCAGATGACAAAATGGTGCACAATCACACAGTACTGGGAATCATGGCTATAATGGTTAACATTGTGTGTCAACTTGGCTGGGCCATAATTCTCAGTGTTTATATGTGATCACTCCCATGATTGAATCTGCTGTGAGTAGCCAATCAGTTGAAAGGGAGTTTCCTTGGAGGTGTGGCCTGCATCCAAATATAAGCAGACATTCTGGTTTTTTGCTTGCTTTTTCCTCCTGTGGCTGCCTCCTGTTCATCTGACCTCTGGTTTTTGAGAGTTGAGCTATCAGCTTATCTGTCAATCTTGAGATTCGTTGATCTTCACAGCCTGTGAGCAGAACCCTGCTCTCTGACCTGCCGATCTTGGGTTCACCAGCCCCTGCAGCTACATGAATCAGGAGAAGCCTAGCAGTCTTGCCTGCCAATCTTGAGATTTGTTGATATTCACAGCCTGTGAGCAAGAGCCCTGCTTTCTGACCTGCTGATCTTGGGTTTGCCAGACCCTGTGGCTACATGAATCAGGAGAAACCTCTATACTAATCCATGGACTGGACATTCCAGCTTCTACAATCACATTAGCTGTTTCTTTTATATAAATGTCTCTCTGTATATATTTATATGTTTTACTTATTTTGCTTCTCTAGAGAACCCAGGCTAAGACAATGGCCTAGCCAAATTGATACCCATATTTTTAGGGGACACAATTCAATCCATGACAGAAAGTATTTGCCTTTTCCACAGAAAGTGCCCATGAAGTCATCCAGGTTGATGGCCCAGACCATGGCCCCTCTAAAGCTGTTCTTCAGCAGCCCCTCAGCCTGGGGGAGAAAGTTGGAGGGACTGTGGGATGTCCTTGCACAGGCGCATGAGTGACTGCAGCAGGATGATGAGGACGATGACCACTCATGGGGAGGAGGGAATGGGAGTGGTTTTCTTGCAGCAACTTTGAGGGATCAATGGACATATTTTTATACAAGAAAAGATTTTAGTACTAGAAGTCAGGGAGAAAGAGGGCCTTGGGCTCCAAGCAGCCCTTTTTCTTTGCCCTCTTATCACAAACAACCTTCTGAGAAGGCTTGTCTGAGCTGGGGCTTGGGTTGGTTGTGGTGTCATAAGAGAAACAGAGCCCTTCACACAGCAAAATGTCTGGGCAAAGAGAGATGGTTCCAGATGGGGAGGCATGGAGGGAAAGGGCCCTGAGGTTTGTAAGCGGTAGTCATAACCTCCCCAGACCTGAATATATAAAAGCCAAGGGACAGAAGCCTCACAGCTCAGGGGATCTCTGCCTCCTGACTTTCCTTGACCCCATACGAATTTGCTGTAGGCAAACAAGGAAACACTGTGATCTATGCAGGACTTTGACATGAGGAAGAATGCCTGCCTCAGGAAGCACAAATAGGAGAGTTGGAACAAGACCAGAGCAGAGCAGAGCAGGTGAGGGAGTCAAAGATGAGTCTCAGGGAATGGGAGGAGGAAAAGGTGCAGGAGTGAAGGGAAGGAAGGAAGGAAGCCAACTGCTACCTAATGGGGCAGGAGGGGCTGCTCCGGCTTCCAGGCTCTGCAGCTGGGTCACTGGTTCCTGGGGCTTGTATCACCTCACATTGCCTCTCTTAGGTGTCTTTCAGGAATGAGCAGACCTGGGGCAGGTACAAGAGGAGCAGTCATGACTCAGATGGGCCCCTCTTTCTTCTGGTCACCTCTCCCTCTTCCCTGCCTTTCCTTCCTGGGATACACCACGGTCACCACCCCCTTTGCTGGGATCACATGATTTCAGTTTCAGCCAAGCTCCTTGGCCCTGATTTTCAGTCTAGTGAGCCAGTGCAGCATTCGCTGGACAGAGAGATGAGCCATGAATTCCAGTCCTGTGTCTGTCAATAGCCTTCTGTGTAACTAGGGTCAAAACAGTCTCTTTGTGCCTTGCAGCTCAAGGGTACCATGAGGGCAGGTCCCTAACCATCCTCCTGGCCATGCAAATGAAGGGTATGGAGGGCCTTACCTTGAGGGTGAAGCACTTGGGATTGTCATACCTAATCCACTGGTTCCCCTTGTAGGCATAGGGGACCTCCTGAGGGGCGTTCCACACTTTGGTGGCTCCTTTCAGGGATGAGCAGACCTGGGGCAAGTACAAGAGGAGCAGTCACAACTCAGGTGGGCCCCTCTCTGCTCTGGTCACTTCCCTTTCCTTCCTGGGATATACCACCACCACCACTCCTTTTGCTGGGAATAAGAACACATCATTCCAGTTTCACCCAGCTCCTCGCCCCAATTTTCAGTCTAATGAGCAAGTGCAGTGTGCACTGGACAGAGAGATGAGCTATGAATGCCAGTCCTGTGTCTGCCACTAGCCTTCTGTGTGACAATGGACAAAGCAATCTCTTTGTGCCTTGTGCCCAGTTTCCCTTTGAAACGTTCTTATTTGAAAGAGTTTTTATCTCAGAAGAGCTAACAAGGGGATAGCAGAACATAATGGTTAAGATCTGAGATTCTGGGGCTGGCCAACTTAGGTTTCAATTCAGCTCTGCCTCTTACTAGTTCTGTGAACTAGAGCAAATTACTCAGTTAAATAATTAACCAAGTGTCTCTGTGTCCTCTTCTGTAAAGTGAGGATAAGAGCAGTACCTTATAATTTGTTGTAAGAGCAAATGGGATGATATATAAAAATCACTTTAGAACAGAGCCTGGCTCTCCATTTTCACTCAGTAAATATGAACTACCATTAGTATTAAAGATGCACATAGACTTTGAAAGGTTAAACTTTAAGATGTTTTATCCCTACCACATACACTAGCACAGTAACACACTCAAAGCAGCCAATCAAAGGGGTACCCTCTATTAGAAATCAGTGTATAGATTCTTTCTCCATGTAAGTATCTTCAATCCTCTGGAGCAGAGAGAATGGATCTCCCTGGTTCCCTGGGCCTTCTGAGGCCATTACCTCAAAGTAGGTTAGAGTTCCAGCCTCCTGAGTATACGCCCCAGCTGTTCCAGGGTCAGAGGTGGGATCATCCAGGCCTTATGGTGGGCAGGGTTTGTGAGAGTGAGAGTGCGGACACAAGCACCAAAGCCCACCATCAGCTTCTCAGCAGGGACACCTTGGTTCTTCCAGTAATTTATTGCGTATTCCTGGAAGCAAGTTAAGGAAGTGATACCATTATGAAGCAGCTGAGCAGGTGCCCAGAGGCCTGTAGAATAGCCTAGATTTTTTGCACAGTTCCCTGACAACTGTAGATACATCATCCTGTCAAGCTCCTTCCACAATCCAACCTGACAGAAAGGAAAGGAGTGCTACTTCCTTCTAGAATGGATGTCAGAAGTCTCCTCAGTCAATAGGCCCATTGTTTAGGTAGCAGAGCCCAGTGTCAAATGGGAATGAATTGTTCTCTCTTATCCTCCCTTCCTTCATACCGGACTTAGCATTTGGGGCATGACTGGAATTCAGCCATGTATCATTTGTCTCCCCATCTCACTGAATACCACAGCTCGGAGTCATTTGAGCATGGGATGTCCATCTGGAACACTTTTCTATTCCAATTTTTCTTTTTCTTTTTTTTTATTGTTGTAATTAAATGAAGTTTACATTTCAAGTTAGTCTCCCATACAAAATTTTTGCACATACATTGTTATGAGACCCTAATTGCTCACCCCATTCTGCGACAGCATACTTCTCCTTTCCGCCCCGATTCCACATGACCTCTATTCCAATTTTTAAATCTCTGTTTCAATTCTTTACTGAAATCATATCCATTCCACTAAACCACCTACTAATCATTAGGCAAACTCATTGTTACAGCTGTCTAAGCCATACTAGTTACAAAGATAAACCTCATGGGATAGGAAGAGGATGGAGAGGACAGGAGAAAGAGGGGAGTAAGATGGATCATAAAATGCACCTCTAGCACAAATGGAAATCATATTTTTAAAAAAATTCTCCAATATGTAGGATTATCCCAAACCACTATTCTGCTTCCTTTGGTGTGAAATATGAACTGATGCAATTAATCATAGGAACATAAGCTGGGTTAGGAGAGAAGAGAAAAACCAGGCCTCTTAGTCCTCTCTCTGATCGACACTTGTCTTCTTCATCCGGTCCATCTATCTTTCTTGGCCTCCCTTTTAGTCCTGGGTCAGGGGCTCCATGACACGCTTTGAAGATATCTGCTAGGACTGGCTGTCTTTTACCTATTTCCTCACTCACGGCATTAAAGTATTTGTAGACTCCCTGGTCATTGGGTCCTGCAAACAGGGGGCTGTCCTCTCCTGTGAAATCTTCCCAGGAACCCCTTAGGTCATAGGTCATCAGGTTGATGAGGTTCATGTACCCTGTTTGGTTGGAGAGGGAGAAAGGAGGAGAGAAATGACCCGAAGGTATCAGGCTCTCTATCCTACTCCCCACTAAAGCTTCTAACCCATTGCCGCTGAGTTACTTTTGACCCATAGCGACCCTATAGGACAGAGTAGAACTACCCCATAGGGTTTCCAAGGAGCAGCTGGTAGCTTCGAACTGCCAACTTTTTTGTTAGCAGCCATATCACTTAATCACTGCGCCACTAAAGCTTCTAAGCCCTACAAAAGGTGTTTGTGATTATGCCAAAAGGGAAAATGCATTATTATTATTTATTCCATTATCCCTCACCCTTATCCCAACAGTAACTGGTACATGAAAGGCACTCAATCTATAATCAATACCTGCAATCAGACCTTCAAGACTTGTAAAAGTTCAAGACTCCCCTAATCTTCTCCAAACAGCCTTTCACCATAGAGAACCTTGGAAACAGAATTAGAAACAAGATCAGGGTTCATGCTGGCTTCTCATGCCTTTCACTCAGGCATTGGGGTCGTCTTACTCCTTTAGGATAAAGCCCTCTCCATTCTGAGTACCTAAGCATTGGCCACTGGTATCTGAGCATCGGCCACTCTATGGGAAGGGTCTCAGGGTTGCTGAGCCCTGAACCTAGGATCCCTGGCTTGGGGTTTACTTACTTAGACATCTCGGGGATTTGGTAGGCAGTCTCAGTGGTACCTTTGCCAGCCGACACAACAGCAGAAATCAGCAACCTGGGCTTGTTGCTCTGGAAAGCTTCTTGCTCAAAAGCTTCATACATTTCTTGTGAAACAAAGGACACTGGATTCAGGTTGGAGAGTCCCAGCAAGCAGGTGACAGGGTCATGGTTCTTATGAAGAAAGCTGCAAAGTGCTCAGTTTATAGTTCTTTGTTCCTACCAGCTGTTGTTGGTCCCTGGGGACAATAGAGAACTGTCTCTCAAGAACTTGGAAATGAGGAAAATTTGGTTACTCTCCAAGAGCTAAACTTTCAAATGAACAAATAATAGTCAGAGCAGAAAAAATTACATTAAGAGATAAAAATTGCTCCCAGCCCTTCAAAATGTACATGATTGAATTTAATAATCAGAAAAATCAGTCATAAAGAAGAGGATATAAAAGAGTATCAAAGTAAATATTGGTGCTTAACCAGGCTCTGCTCAGAGGAGAGGGTACCCAGACTCAATAAGTTTATGTCTGGTCCTGGTGACAGGAGTATCCCTTCCCTGAAGGCATATGCATCCACCTACCTATCTGAGTCTAGAGGAGTCCCTGCATGGGGCAAATGGTTAACACACTCAGCTGCTAACCAAAAGGTTGGACGTTCAAGTCTACCCAAAGTCACCTTGGAAGAAAAGCCTAGTGATCAACTGCCAAAAAACCAGCTATTGAAAATTCTATGGAGCACAGAGTCAACTCAACAGCAACTGGTTTTTATCAGAGCCTTGTGGCACTGACCATCACAGTGACTAACTCAACATATCTAGATGGTGCTCACCAAGGAAATATTTGAGGAATATCTTACTTCTCACATAGATCTGTGACTAGGGATAGAGAGGGCATGAGTATTTCAGTCCCTTTGTCAGGTATATCTCTCACCATAAATCTATTAACTGTCATTGCATTATTGTGCACCAGCCTCTCTAACTTGCCCAATGTAAGTTTTCCCTGAAAGAATGATCTGTTCTTGTACTAAAGAAATCAGGCTCTGAGCCTTTCGAGGATGAGAGCCACGCTCTGGGCTGAGGTGTATTCAGCCTTTCTCAGAACCCCTCACCTGCCGACTGAGGGCCAGATCCTTTGTTCTTTGGACAAAGAGGAGAGGGAGTCACCTTCAACAGTACAGTGAAGAGTTGTTGTGTGTCTGCTGGGCTGCTATGATTGCCAGGATACTGCCAATCAATGTCCAGCCCATCGAAGTTGTACTTCTTCAGAAACTGTATGGCCGACTGGATGAAGGTCTGGTGGTTCTCAGCAATGGTCACCATGTTAGAGAATCTGGAATTAACAAGTCATTATGATCTTAGTGGCAGTGATGGGTTTTGACATGGACTCTCCCAAGAGCAAGATTCTCCCACAGGGCACTTTTGGAGAACAAAATAGTGTACCAGTCCCCTCAAAACCCTGTCTTGTCATTAAACCTTCTGACTATTTGCCTGGACACACATTCAGTTATTCGGTCATTCATTTGACATTTAGTGAGTGCTATAGTGACAGTGGAGAATAAAATAGAGTTTCTGCCCTGGAGGAGCTCATACAGAGGAAGGTAAATAGGCAATCAAAATATAGTGTGGTAAGAGCTACGATGGTGGCACAATGGTTAAGCACTCAGCTGCTAACTGAAAGGTCAGCGGTTCGAACCCTCCCCCACCAGGCACTCCAAGGGAGAAAGTTGTGGCAGTCTGCTTCCGTAAAGATTACAGCCTTAGAAATCCTATGGGACAGTTCTACTCTGTCCTGTAAGGTCACTATGAGTTGGAATCAACTCGACGGCACACAACAAAAACAACAAGACTTATGACGGAGGTAAGTCAGACTTCAGGGAGAGCTGATCAGAGAAAGATTCTGAAATGTCTAAACTGAGGTCTGAAACCCAGGGTCCATCCACTTCAGAGAAACTCAGAGCCCTTGGAATTTGGAAGAAACTGAGTAATCTGGGACTGATTCAGTCACTAAAACCAGGTCTTATCCCTGGGTTCCAAAATTCCAGCCACCAACAGACAGCAGGGCTTTCTGTTCCGTGTTGCTGGGGTTAGAAAGATATCAATGTAAATGGAATTCCACTGGCTAGGAGATGTCAGTCCCTCTGCCCTCATATCCCACACCTGAGCCAGGGATGGGCCAAAGTCTGTGACCTTGTCTTGGGAGCAGAACACTCCATGGGAGTGAAATGCCCTCTTGCCATGAATACATCTAGGGCACATTATAAATACTCATTGAACGGGTTCCCAACTCTGCCAGTGGGCTGATTGATCCTGGTGTGGCAGTGAGCTTCAGGGGAAGAAGAGGCAGTGTACCCAGGGGAGGATGGGGGAACCTAAAATCCATTCCTTAGCATAGACATAGGTGAGCTGGAGCTGGAGCAAAGAAAGCAGAAAATCTGAGCCCCTCAAAGGAAAGAGCAAGGAGTAGGGACAATGGAAGTATCCACCATTTTCTGAGTGCCTACTAAATGTCAGGCATTTTGCATGCATTGTCCCTGTAACAATCCTACAAGGCATGAACTATTAATCTCATATTACGTTTAAGTGAGATTCAGAGAGGTTAAGTAACTTCCCCAAGATGACCTAGCCAGTAAGATAGCAGAGCCAGGATTCAAATCTCCTTCATGCTATGGTGTCTCCCGGCAGGTGCCCATGTCCTGTCAACTTGACCATAAAAGCTACCCATTGGATTCCCAGATGAACCAAAGTTTCAGTTAACCTATCTGATAAACTGATCAGATATTCCTGTGTTCTTCCACTTACTACTTCTGTGGGCTAGAGAAGGCTTTTAACCTCTCTGTAACTGTTTCTTCAACTAATAAGTGGTTTTAATATGCCTAATTCATAGTATTTATTGTGAGGGTTAAATAAAATAATGAATGAAAAGCACCTAGCGTAATGCCAGGCACATAGTAGCCACCTAATCAATATGCTAAGATTTTTAGTAGCACAAGAATCATTTCAGGTTTTTCTTCATTTAGTAGCTAGCTTGAGGGTTGGTGAAGGGCGTGTACTTCAGCCTGGCAAACCTCAGGGGGCACTATTCACAATGAATCCCTTGTGGATGGCACCTCCTTGACACAGAGAATACAACGCTGAGGACCTGGTGAGAAAATAATCCAGAAAAATGACAGCAACCTGCCTGTCCTGTGGGTGATGATACTGGCAGTTCTGCCAACAGGACGCAAGAGTGATTGCAGACAACACTCAAAGGCTAAGCTTCCTGGTGTCAGTGTCTCTCAGGGAACTTCTGAAATGTCCAAGTGAGAGCCTCCAACCAAGCACAGAGCCCAAGCCCAGAAGTCACTAGTTCTTGAGGCTATTGATGCCAACAGAGAGGGCCTCATCATTCCACTCAATGGTTTTGATCTGGTTGTTGGCCATGCCAGCAAAGGCATAGATAATTTGTATGGAGAGACAAAGATCCACATTCTCAGGCATGTAGTGCACAATCCCCGGGTGATACTGGCTCCAGCTGGTGAAGTAACAGACAATTTTGGTTGCTGTGCCTGGAAGTCAGAGAAGCCAGAGATGGGCCCTGCCCTGCCTGAATGATTTCCCCAACTCCCAAGTTACCCTGGTACCCCCCGCCCTCACATGGGGCACTTACCCAGCTGCAGCAGGAGGGCCAACCCTAAAGAAGAAAAGAGACCTTGGTCAGAGGGTGCCAGGATCATCCTTTCCCTGGGTGGGAAGAAGCAGGCCTGGGACATCAGTGGCCAGTAGATGGAGAAGGGGAGCTGGGACCTGATGGCCACTGTGTTCTAGAAATCACTTTCCAACATAGGCCCCTACATGACACTTTTGAAGAAAGTGGCTAGTGCAGGAATTTAGTGAACTACATGGCAGGTCTGATGATGGGCAGCTCAGGAACCAGGAGAATTTGTTGTTTTTCTTCCAACAAACCCATATTAAGTACTGGGTTCTGGAGGCAAAAAGAAAAACTAGGCAGAATCCCCATCCTCAAGGAGATCAATGCCTAGTGGAGAAGTCAAATCTATAAGCAAACAGGTGCAATGTAATATGATAAGTGATAAAATTGTGATATGCACAGAGTATTATGGAAAACAGAGATCATGGAAGACTTCCCAAGACAGGTAATGTTTGGACTGGGTTTCCTGTTCTCTTTTTAGGTTCTTCTGGTATTTGTGCTTCCTTATCTCTATGAGAGCACCTGTCACATTGAAAAATAATTGTTTATAGGTCTGCCCACTAGACAGTGAGCTTCTTGCAGGCAGGGACTATACTTGTACTTCTGAGTTCCCACTACCCAAGACAGTGCCTGGCATATAGTCAACTCTCCATCAGTATTTGTCAAATGAATGGGCTCTAAAGATAAAGCAAATTGCTGGTAAATGACAGAGGAGGCACTGGAGGTGGAGAAGGGAGGTTTTCGGCAGACGGCCCTTTTCCCATATCGGTCTCTTCATACTGAGGTCTAGAACTCACCTTTTCCAGAACTAATGTCATTCTACTTTTCAGTTTAGATGATGCTTCTAAATTTTATTCCCTTCCTAGCCACCCAACCACAATAAGCATGTGCTGTTGTGCCCAGCCCAGTGATTGCTCTCATTGGTCTCCTATCCACAGCTTGGTCATCATTTCTGGGAAAAAGTCAGCACATGGGGAACAACAATTAACTCTTTAAGGTCTTTTTTCCTTCCCAGCCCCAATCCCTTAGACCTGCCTCCAGACGACCACATTCAAAAAAACCTCAGCCTTACTATTTTTTTCTACTAATTTCTTCTGTTAGTTGATTGATCCTTGATAAAGTCCATGCATTGTGCTTTTGCTTTGTGGCTAACACTGAGGAGGAATCACAGAATGTTAAAATGGGGAGGGCAAGCCCAAGTCTTCCATCATTTTACATGTGGGGAAATGGCCTCATCCTGGTCTGTCAGAGTTATCTACTTTCCCTCCATTATGGAGCCCTCAGATGCTCAGTGGGCCTTCCTTTCTTCCCCACTGTTACGGATTGAACTGTGCCCCCAAAAAGATATGTTGAAGTCCTAACATCTGGTACCTGTGAATGTGACCTTGTTTGGGAATAAGGTCTTTGAAGATGTAGTCAGTTAAGTAAACATGAGATAATACTGGAGTAGGGTGGCTCTTAATCCATTTGAGTGGTATCCTTATAAAAGAGGAGAAAACAGAGAGAGACAGATAGAGGAAGTAAAGCCATGTGAAGATGCATCTACAAGCCAGGAAATGCCTGGGGCTACCAGAAGCTGGGAGAGACAAGAAACAATCTTCCTCTACAGACTTCAGAGAGAGCATGGCCCTGCTGACACCTTGACTTGGACTTCTAGTCTCCAAAGCTGTGAGAGAATAAATTTCTGTTCTTATAAGTCACCCAATTAGTGGTGTTTTATTATGGCAGCCATAGGAAACTAGTATACCCACTATGTTATGAACCCAAGGAGGCTGGTGAGAGGAAGGAGACAATGCAGGAGGCTTTGGAGCACAGGGAGTGGAGGAGGAGACATTGAATAAAAGGAGGAGAAAAAGCAGCTGCCCTGAAAGCTCAAATAGGGTCTACTGGGAAAGACTGACCAGCAAGAATCAACAGCTTGCTCATTTTGGTAGTACGTCCTAAATCCTAGTTCCAGGTCTGTCTGGGCTCTCACAGGCTTTTTAAAGGAAGCACCACCAGGCCCTCCCACTCTGCACCTGGCCCCTTGCAGCAGGCAAGGTGAGGACTTAAAAATAAAGGGGCAGGGGGTAACCCTTGGCTCCCCCTCACCCTCTGAATCTTATTTGTGTTTTCCATCTTGAGTAATCAACCTAAGGACACAATGGAGACTCCATGAGAACAGCCTCAAAGGTCAACTGGCTGTTGACTAAAGGTACATTTAGCAAAATGGCGTATCTGGCACACGAATGAGGCTGGCCTGGGATCCAAAGTTACTGCACTGTCAGAACAGTCTCCACATGTCAAAAGAGACTAGCTGGATCTTGGGGAGGAGTATGGACAAAGGAAGTCAGACAGCCATCACACTGAACTTTATCCCTGGGGGGACAATAGTGGGGAGCCCCTGCCCAGCCCTCTCTTCCTTGATTCGATTATAGCAATAGATCTTGGGTAGTAGCTGGAAGTTTGTAAGGTTATGTCAAGTTTGGAGTAAGAAAGCATTATTTTCCAAGCTGCTTCTGTTTAATTAAAAAGAGCCCTGGTGGCACAGTGGTTAAGTGCTAGACTGCTAACAGAAAGGTGGGCAGTGTGAACAAGGGCTTCTAACTGATTTGGAAATGGTTCAGTAATTGCCAGTGTAAATGAGAGCAGCATACATGTTGCATAGCAACCAAATCTGCTGCCCATGGGATTTTAACCAAAGTAGGAAACAAACAGGAGTGCCTGGCTCAAAGATGGCAGCCAACTGCGCAGCTTTGAATGTACGTTGCTCTCCACAGTCCTGCCAATAATCCAATCTTCGGCGTGGACTCTGAAAGTTTCAGGAGCCTGATGCAGGAGATTGGATTATTGGCAGGACTGGGGAGAGCCACACACATGCAAAGTAGCGTGATCAGAAACCATCTTTGAGCGGGGCACTTCTGTTTGTTGCCTACTTGCATCAAAATCCCACAGGCAACAACAGATTTGCTTGCTATGCAACTCATACATGGCCCTTGTTCGTGTCAGCAACCACTGAACCGTTCTGAACAGTTCAAAGCCCTGGTTCGAACCCACCAGCCGCTCCTTGGAAGAAAGATGTGGCAGTCTGCTTCCATGAAGATTTACAGCTTTGGAAACCCTATAGGGAAGTTCTACTCTGTCCTACAAGGTCACTGTGAGTTAGTTGACTTGACAGCAAAAGGTTTGGTTTGACTTTTCTGTTTAATTGATGATTACCCAGTTCATATAAAAACAAAACACCAAACAGATGTAGAAAGCTTGAGTTCTTTGCATAAAAATATGGTAAATAACTTGCCCAAAGTCACCCAGCCAGTAAGTTAATTTCAAAGCCAGAATGTGAACCCAGAGAGTCTGATTCCAGACTGTGCTCTTAATGACTTCACTCTTCCTCTTCTTGAGAACGTGGATCACCAGAGACCATAAAGGACTGACCCAGAGTTAGGGATCAGAGAGGTGTCCCAAACAAAGTAATGTCTGCCTTGGAACTGGGCTGGCATATAGCGGGACTTTGGAGGCTAACTTCTTCCCAATCTCCATCAGTGCTTGCCACCTCCACTCTTTTTTATGTACAGCTGATATTTTCTTAGTCAGAGTCCATAAGTACAACTGATATTTTCTTGGTCAGAATCCATTGACAAAAAAACGGGTTCTGACGGAGAAAAAAGCAGTTATACGTAAAAGCGGGGAGGGCGGGTGGCAAGCACTGATGGAGACTGGGAGGAAGTTAGCCTCCAAAGTCCCCTAAATGCCATCCCAGTTCAACTGATATTTTCTCAGTCAGAAGTAAGGAGCTATTCAAAAGCAGTTTTAAAACAAATTCCCTAGTATTCCAACCCTCACTTTCTTCTAGATCAGGTCACCTCCTCTAAGCCCCTCCTCCACAGAAATTTTGGTGCTGCCATATTCTGAGATTTGATCTAGTGCTACCACTTGTTAGACGTGTGACCTTACATTTCCTAAGCCCCAGTTAGCTCATCTGCATGGAGCTTACATTACCTAGTTCACAAATCATGAGGATTAAATATATGCATGAAAGTATTGGTTCGGTCATTAGGATAAAAATAATTTTTCTAGAAGGAAAGGATTGGAAGGGAAGGGGGAGGATGTAAAAAACGCAGTTCATCCTAAAATTAGGGCATTTGAACCCAGAAACAGCCCTAGACCTGAGCAAGAGGGATCCCTGCCTTGGGCGCCATGCTTTAGATCAAGGATTGGTGAACTTTTCTATAAAGGGCCAGATAGTAAATAATTTAGGCTTTGAGAGCCATATGATCTGCAACTTCTCAACTCTGTAGTGGGAAAGCACCCATATACGTGTTATGTAAACAAATTGGGTGTGGCTGGGTTCCAATAAAGTTTTATTTACAAAAACTAGCAGTGGGCTGGATTTGGCCCCAGGGCATAGTTTGTCTGACCTTTGCTTTAGAGGGTTCGGCTGTGATCCTCCTCCAGCTGCACCCTCCCCATGAGGTGAGGAGACTGCAGGGCTGGGGCACATCCACCTGGAGCTCACATCCCTCCCCTTCTAAACCATGATCCAGATACCCAGGACTCCCTGCCCAGACAGCCTGTGCCCACTTTCAGGGCCTGCACAGGCCTTTTCCCTGGTTTCATCCTGAGGGTAGAGCACACCACTGGCAGACACAGACCCAGCCCTGAGGCTCTTTGTGGGGTGTGTACACGAAGCGTGGATGCAAAGACTGAGATGTTCACAGTGTGTGTGTGAGGTGCTCTCTCTGCGAGACAGAGCTGAAGGAGGGGAGGTGTCCCACTTATCTAGTGCTCTTATAACAAATACCACAAGTGGATGGCTTTAACAAACAAAAGTTTATTTTCTCACAGTCTAGTAGGCTACAAGTCCAAATTCAGGGCATCAGCTCCAGGGGAAAGCCTTCTTTCTCAGTCAGCTCTGGAGAAAGGTCCTTGTCATCCATCTTCCCCTGGTCTAGGAGCTTCTCAGTGCAGGGACCCCGGGTCCAAAGGACGTGGTATTCTCCTGGCTCTTGTTTCTTGGTGGTATGAGGTCCCCTTGTCTCTCTGCTTGCTTGTCTCTTTTATATCTCAAAAGATATTGACTTAAGACATAACCTAATCTTGTAGATTGAGTCCTGCCTCATTAACATAACTCCTTTAATCCTGCCTCATTAACATCATAGAGGTAGGATTTACAACATACAGGAAAATCACATCAGATGAGAAAATGGTGGACAATCACACAATACTGGGAATCATGGCCTAGTCAAGTTGACAGATATTTTTGGGGGACACAATTAAATCCATAACAGAAGGGAATTCTGGTGCAGAATTCTGAAGAGCCTGAGAATTCTAAATTCAAATCTGATCTTATAGGTTGTTATGAAGGCATATTTGTCAGTGTCAAAATATAAATAATATTTTAACAGTTTATTAGTTCCTTTAAATATTTTGACATATGACATGTGAGCCTCCACTTGTACTCTAGCCCTGGGCTCCAAACAGCAGGGGCAGGACTGCCTTATACCACAGGGTAAAGGATTACACAAATGAGGTCACACTTACTGGAGCAAAAATATTTTCTTATTGTGCCTCAGGACAAGTCAGCAGCTGCGGGAACCCAAAGCCAGGCCCAGTTAGAGGTCTGGGAGGAAGTCAGGGGAAAGCTTGGAGAAGAGAGATCTTGAGGTCAGTCTGGCAAGGTGAATCCCACACAAGAATTCCTGGAGAAAGAGTATGCAACAAGGTCACCTTGTCTGCTCAGCTATAGATGAAGCCTAGACACAAAAGGAAGAATACTTCAAAGGCCAAGTCAGTAATCTGAGACCTGAACCAAGTTACTGAACTAGAGATTCTCAGAGTTAGAAAGGAGCTGCCTAATCATCTAGCTGAGGAGTTTTCTTACTGTACTGGGCCCTTTTCCAGGACAGTCCCCTGTGCTGGAATAATGGATCTCACAATGGCTAGCTGGTTAGCAACAGCTCTTCCCTCCACAAGAGGGAATATATTCTGCACAAGAAGATATACAATGCACCTAGGGAACATGGAGCCCAGGCTCAGAGCAGCAGCAAAGTCACCTACCTTCAGGGTAACAGGTAGGCTTGAGCAAGAGCATATCAATAATGACCAGTGGGACCTCGAGAATTTAAGACTAAGTAAGAACAACTGTGGATGGGGGGAGGGAGCATTAGTAATAACTGAGACTGGCTTCCTCATTAGTGCAGCTGATTGAGGGAATAGAGGCAGATTCATATTAATTTAGAAAATTAAAACAGGCTGTTTTTTAACCAGGAATTGTGGTGGAGTCAATGTTTATCCCCACTATACATGTAAAGAAAGTCCTTAGCTCAAGTATGTGCTCAATAAGTGGTAGCTCAATTTATTTTTGTTTATTCAAAAAGTGTTTGGGATATCCCCATTATCATGAGACTAGAAGAAATGGATGGTGCCTGACTACTGTTACTGAATGTTTTGATCAAGGACCAAATAGAGGAATCCTGATCAAAAGGAAGAAAAGCATGGAACAGACTTTTAAACTCACATGGAAACCAGACTTACTGGATCCATTGAAACAGGGGGAACCTCTGAATCTAATACCCAGAAATAATCTTTAAACCTTGAACCAGAACTATCCCATGAAGCCATCATTAAACTAAATAACAATTTAGCCCAATTAATAAAGAATGTTTGCCTCAAGCATAGCACTCTTATAAAGAATTATATATATGAGTGTAAACTGACAACAATTCATCTAAAGTACAGAAGAGAACTTTTAGGGGCAGAGAGCCTAAATTAATGGTGATGAAACAATGTGGGTAGATATAGAATGGGGACACAATGTGAAGTATGTAGCCATGTTATTGAGCTGTTCTTGAAAACTGTGAATGAATGTATGTTTGGTTAAGTATATTCCCAACAAAAATAAATATTTTTAAAAAAGAAATAAAATTTTAAAAAATCTACTGGAAGCCTACCAAACAGACAGGACCAGCCTAGTCAATCAGGAAATAAGGCTGAAGGTCCAAGCTGGCATAAGAAAGGGTTGGCCTAAATATGTATAGATAATCTCCCACAATCTGTACTCCCTTCTGCCCAGCTCTCCAGCCACTTCCAGCCCCAGCCCCGACTCATTTACCTTCATAGAGAGCCGAGGCTTCTCTTGACAGCCTGGACAAGGGGGTAGCGACCCTGGCTGCAGGACTTGCCCATGAAGTCGTTCATGTCAATAGACCAGATCATGTCCCCTCCCAGGTTTAAATTCTTTAGAAACTGAACCTGAGGGAAGCACAAATGGAGGTTAGAAGAGGCACTTAAAGGCCCATGACCCAAGTCAAGTTCAGAAGCGGGCCTGAGCTTAGAGTGCGACAATAGACTTAGAGGTTACATGGACTTGGGGACTTCCTGAAGGGAAGGGTGAGCTCAAGTTGCTCAGGGTTATATGGGAGTAAGAGAGAGCCATCCACTATTAACAACCTCTTGTCCTGGCTCATGGAGCCACCACTCCCCAGGTCCAGCATTCTCAGAGTCTCTGAAAACTCTCCAGGATCAGAGGTAAAAACCAGAAGCCACAAGCAAGACAAGAGGACTGTATTTGTCAATAACACTGATGCCTCCCACCTGCCCTAAGATTAGAAGGCAAACAAATGTCTTAGAAAGATCTAAGAACTGGTAGGCTCAGAAAGCTGAAGACTCCTAGTAGGTAGTCCATGAGGACTGAAGGGCTTGTCCTCAGATGACCAACAAGGAAGATAACCACTCTCTGTATAGGCACCACTGTCTCTTTTATTCCCATTCCCTTCTCTTCACTCCTTACTTTTCTCCACCCTTTACTTTACTTTTCCACTTGTTCTCAAACTTCAGTTATTTCTGGCATCCTTTCAACCTATCCTGTCTGTGCCACAGGTCCTCACAGCTGTGGCTTAGCATCACTACTAGACTTGGGCTACAAAGCCCACTGATTCCTTTCCTAGAAACTGGAGTCCCAGAGTCTCCTCTTAACACAAAGTATCTGGCATTTCACCATGCATCCCATTCCCCACTCAAAGGCGTATCCTCCCACCCCTAGAACCTCTTGCCTACCTACCTTGGTCTCCACACTCTCCACATCATCATAGCCCACCCACTGGTTTCCCTTGACTGCATAGGGAACCTGCTGATCCTGCATTCTTGTGATCTTGGCTCCTTGCAGGAACTGGAAGATCTGCGGAGGGGGGCAAGAAGGGGGTCAGTGATGGGCTCTTCTTGAAACGTATTAAGGTAGAAAGGGCAGGTAAGCCACTAGGGGTTTGGGGAAAATACCAGAACCTTTATCCCAAGGACCAGACAATGAGGGAAATGACCCTATACAATGTACAGAATGAATGGTCCAAGATGAACCACCAGTAATTGCTTATGCTAAGGCCTCATCAAGATGAGTCATAAGCAGCTGGAAGTCAGAAAATACTTGAGTTCTAGATCAGGTTCTAGTACGGACTAATCAACCATCTCATTTTTTTTTGTTTGTTTGCAAAACAGGAAAAATTATAATAATATCTCTTTACAGTATTTTTGTTGGGATCAAATGAACTAATATGTCAAAAAAAAAAAAACCCTTGAATACCGCAAAGTGCTGTACAAATGTGAAGTATTATGATGACCATAACCTTCATTTCCCACCTTGTAGATTATCCGCATTTTAATCCCAACTACTGTGTCCCATTCCCAATCTACCCTGTCCTGGGATACCTCTTTCCATCATCAGCTACTTTCTCTTTCTAATAGCATAAGTAAAAACAACTAAAAGTGAAAATCTTCAGTGGAAAAAAAAAAGCATTCCAATGTTACATAGAGAATTCATTTTGGAATGCTTTTAAATTCTATACCTGTGTTTACCTCAGTTAGGGTGGAAAATAGAAAGTTGAATATTTAAGTAAATAACAATTTATTAAAGTTATAATTAAGACCTAAAGTGATAAACCAAACAATAAAATCAAACTTTCTGTGGCATGGGGAAGTGCATATCCAGTGGTCCATAGTAAAACCCTACCAGCAGATTCTAAGCAGTGACCTTTCTTGACACTTACGTGAAGAATGTTATCACTATCAACCTAGAACTACCCAAGAGGTGGGTCAGCCTCTCTCCCTCCAATCTGTCAGTCACCCTCAGATTCACCGAGGACGCTCATGATGACCCATGTCTCTTTCCCCTTGCCAACTAAATTGATGGTACCTCAGTTTTCTCCTGTGTGGATGGTGAAGTGAAAGACTGAGCAGTACAATGACTGAATCCTTCAGTGGGTGCCAAGGCACTCAACATGGGCTCATGGTATGTTCACATCCATGATGAGAGGTCAGGTTAGGTCTCCAAGGGGAGAGAAGGAAGGGTCCCTGGATGTAGGATAATATCCTTTTCTCTACCTGATCAAACTCCTATCCATCCTTTAAGGCCCAGCAAAAATATCTCCCCCTCCATGGAGCCTTCCCCAGTCACCCATCTCTGAACTTCTAGCCCTGTGTGCCACTCATTTGCCACTTAATCACATCTTATTTTGAAATAATTCTGTAATTTTATGAAACATTATAGTTATCTTATTTTTAAATTCTTGTTTGACTAGTTATATTTGTATTCTGCATTCTTCCCACCTTGACAGTCAGCCCTTTGAGACAAGAATGGAGAATTACTTATCTCTAGCTCTCACAGTACCCAGTATTTGGGATATAGGAGTGACTGTTTGTTGAATTGTTGGTTGATTTCTCTGTGCTTTTTATTTATTTCCTTAGAATGAGGAGATAGTCTAATGAACAGGGCAACTTTGACAACTATCTCTGTGATGCCAAATCTATCTGCCTACTGGACAGAATCTGATCCAGACAGCTGAGGGCCCAGGGAGGTACCAGGTACCTCGTAATAGGCCAGAAAGCCTGGAGACTTGGTGATGGGCCCAGAAGCTCCAGGCCCGGAAGCAGAGACCCTCACGGTGGTTTCTACAGAGGCCAGTGTGAAGGTGCTTCCATACATGGGGATGCCCATGACCACCTTCTCAGCTTGCATTCCCTTGTTTATCCAGTATCCCACAGCATATGCCTAGAAAAGGAAGATAAACTGAGGCACAGCGTGTGAGTGGCCATTCTTAATACCCCCTCCAAATTTCACAGAGGTGACTCCTTATTCCCTTTCTGTATCAGTGGAGTGTGGACAATCCGACCAGGACCAGAGTGCTTTGTTCTAATGACTTAAGGTTCGTTGGCACTAAAAGACTAGTTCAGCTTTTTCTAGGTCATGAAAGAAAGCTGAACAGTGGATCAAAAAGAAATCAGGCAAGTGACCTAGAAAACATGAAATCAAAGTTGTCATTGTCTTTCTTTCCCCTTTGTGTCAACTGCCCATGGAATTTGCCTACACTGGGGCTAATTGTGCTTACTGACAAATATGGGGTGAGATGACTGTCAGACTCTTAGCCTGTGAGGCCTCGCAAAGACCTCGGACCCAAGGGGTCAGATCAGGAAGTAAGTGACAAAATAAGGTGTTAGACAATAATGTCTCTCTTGATCTTTAAAGATAGCTTGATATTGAGGAAGGAGAGAGGGAGGCTGATGTAACTTCACCATGTGGAGTCCTAGAAAACCCCAAACTAGAAATCAGAAGATCCAGTTCTGGACTGACCAGTTCTGTCACTACAAATGTGAAGGCCAGGAAAAATGCAACTCAGAAAACATTTTTCCTCCCAAAATTTTAGGAACATGTAACTATATATATGTACCAAAACAATGGCAACAACAAAATAGCCGAGGGTGAAATTTTTTGCTTAGACTTTCCATTTCCCACCACTTTCCAGGACCTTCACGTCTGTGTGGGTGACCTTGAGCTGTCATTGAATCTGCTAGGATTCCATTTCATCATCTGTGAGTGGGAGTAACATTTCCTGCCCACTTGACCTCACAGACTTGTTCTGAAGATCAAATTAAATGGGTAATATTGACGGACACTCAAGGGTACCATGTTCTGTACACCTGTGCGGGACCAGGAAGTGTACTGAAGATACAGAATTCAGAGAAGACTGGGATGGGTGACACGCTGAGCCAGACACAGAGTTTATGGCAACTACCAAGTCTTCTGATATTTTCCGGGTGGCATTTTACTGGCGTCTGGTTAAAGCATGTCCCCTGTACTCACTAGCCCCCAAGGTAACCTGAGTCCCTCCTGGGCACCTCGTCAGTTTGAGAGGGACATGACTTGTAGATGTACAGAGGTCTCCTCAACTCCTCCTGCAGCCAGCATCCCACTGTGATTTCTCTGCAAAACTCACCACATTGTAGTATGAGGTTGTCCCTCTGTCTACTTGCCCCTTTCTCAGAGGGCTGTTGTGGCCAGTGATGAGGAGCTTTTCCCAAGATCCATGGAAGTCAAAGGACAGAAGGTTGATAAAATCTAGTTCTCTGAAGTGCTAAAAGCAAAGGAGGAGATGCTGTGATGAGCAGAGGTAGAAACAATGATATATAACAGGTTTTGAGTGCAGTTAAACCAAAACTAAACCCATTGCCATGGAGTTGATTCCAACTCATAGCGACTCTATAAGACAGAGTAGAACTGCCTCATAGGGTTTCCAAGGAGTGGTTGGTGGATTTGAACTGCTGACCTTTTGGTTAGCAGCTCAGCTGTCAGGCACTGTGTCACAGTTAGAGGACTGAAATTAGTCATGAAGAAGAACTTCCTGACCGAATGGTGTGAGGGTAGAGCGGTGACCTTCATACTCTCTCTCTTCCTCCCATTCCTCAGGCATACTGATACGCATCCCTTCCATGGACCAGGCTGGAGACAGAGGGTGGGAGGAGATGTTTCTACATACTTACTTTTCCAGTTTCTTGATCTGATAGCTGTTATCAATCATCTGCCTCCCTGCAGACACTTCTGCAGTCAAGAGAAGCCTCTCTTTTCTGGAATTTATGAAGTCCTTCTGAAAGACTTCAGCTAACTCCTGTGAAAAACAAGGCATCAGATTCCCCCCTCCCAGAGTACAGGACTAACATTCTTGTCTGGGAACTATGAAGTTTCTCAAACCACATTAGATAGAAGAGGACAACTTTTTCCCCACTACCCCTGGATGCGGATGCCTCGTGCCTGCATCTGCCCAGGGATGCTCCACACTGGAGAGTATGGAGAAGGACATCCTAGGAGGAAGGAAGCAGGAGGACCCCTCAGCCTCACTGTATCCAGGAAAATGAGGACGCCCAAGAAAGAACTATCTAGGTCTTCTCCTGATGTATCTTCTGAATCAAACCCTCTACTATGAGGCTATCTCAACACCCGAGGAATTCATTCTATGGCCCCGTACTCTTATATGAATGTTGTTTTGTTATGATGTTGTTTTGTCATTATAAAAGAGGGCTCTGTTATTTGATGTTGTCTCTACCCTAAACTATGACCGGGGCTTCTCCCCATCAGTGGGGGCTTCTTGAAGGCAGAAGTTGTGTCTTCTTACAAGGCCCAATCTCTTCTTTTCCCTCTCCTGGTGTGGTCATATTACAGGCACTGAACGTACCAAGGAGTGTGACTTACATGAATCAGCTCAGTGAAATGAGTGCTGTCTTTCAGACCTGGGTAGATCCAGCTTATGTCCAGCCCATCAAAGTTATGATTCCTTAGGAATGGGATTACAGAGTTGATAAATTCCAAGCATGATGTAGAAGAATCAACCATGGGGTGGAAACTAGGTAGAACAATACAGGTGTTCTTTGGAAAGAATAGGCACTACCCATAGCAGAATACTTTTTTCACAGAAATCCTAAAATAGTCTTTCCTTCCCCAATACTCTATCACTATTTGTCTATCCCAATCCTCTCCTTACCCCTTTTGATACACATGGGGAGACAAAGGCAAGCATTATGGCTTATGGAAGATTGTTGGGCCAGACAATTGATTAGGTTGTGTTGTGGATTTAATTGTGTCCCCCAAAAGTTGTATGGAAGCTCTGGCCCCTGTACCTGTGGGTGTGATCTGTTTAGAAATATTAATTTCCTTTGTTATGTTAATGAGGTCATGCCAGAGTAGAGTGAGCCCTAAACCTAATCACTTCTGTGCGTTATACATTTTTTATATTCTGTATAGCACCCACCACAAAGCTTGGAATTTTCTTAGCAATAATAATAATAATAATAATAATAATATAACAACAAATTATTGCAGCCTTTGAACTCTTATTGTGTACCAGCACTATGCTGAACAGTTTATATGTGTTGCCTGGCCTCACAACATTACTCTGACGTAGTTTTTATTATTATTCTATTACTATTATTATTCTATTATTATTCTCATAGTTAAAGAAAACTGAGACGCAGAAATTTAAAGAACTTGCCTGAGGTCATATGGCTAAAGTGAAACCCAAATCAGATTTGTTTATCTCCAAAGCCTAAACTGGCACTCAGTTTATCAATAAATCATCTATTGAATGAATGGATGCCTGCATGTAAGAATGAATGATGAAGGCTTTTTTTAATTGAATAAAAAATTAAGCAAGTATTACAAGAGGGGAGAATTTGGGAATTAGAAGGATAGTTGTCATTGAAACCTATTCATAACTGAAAGGAGTTCATGATGGGGTTCATGCAGACCCAAATAAGTCAGGTAACCTAATCTTCCTTCCCTCTTTCTGTTGCAGAAATTGAGTTGCTAAGCATTCTACAGTTTTAGAACTGGTAGAGACTTCAGAAATACTACTGTGATTTTTAATATCATTCCTTATTTCATAGATGAAAATATTTAGGATCAAAGAAGGAAAAGAAAAAGGAAGAAGAGTTGATATTTATTGAATGATAACTCTGAGCAGGGCATGTGCCATGCATTATCTCATTTGAAACCGTTACAACCACCTTATGAAGTAGTTATTGTTATGTACATTTTGCAGATGGATAAACTGAGCTCAGAGAGGTTTGGTAACTTTCCCTAGGTCAGCCATCTAAATAGGTCTTATAACACCTAGTTGTTTTTTCTGCCTACTTCTGCCGTAACTGGATACTGACAAGCCCCACGAGGAAATTGTACTATCAGAAGATTACTTTTGAAAACTGAAAGCCTCTGGAGGCTTGAGTTTAAGATGTCTGGATTTTTTTTAAATGTTTGCACCTTTCTTTAAATTAAAGCAGAAAAAAATCAAAATTAGATTAACTGTAGTTGGAGAGTGCAAAAAAAATTGCCTTTCATCCTTCTGTAAACCAAAAAATCAAATGTGTTGCTGTTGAGTTGATTCCAACTCATAGCGACCCTATAGTGACCCTATGGGATGGAGTAGAACTGCCCATAGGGTTTCCAAGGAGCAGCTGGTGCGTTCGAACTGCTGACTGTTTGATTAGCAGCCGAGCTCTTAACCACTGCACCACCAGGGCTCCTCATCCTTATGTACTTGTATTTATTTAGCTCTTGATGTAAATGAAGTATCATTTTCATATGTTAGGAACTATAATTTATAATGTATGCTTCATATCAATGGCTATTTTACTTTTAAGCAAAGTGGACCTGATTGTCTCCTATGCCATTCTGTGCTCTCTCTGGCCATCAAACTACACAACCATGGCCCAGAGTTTCAAGGGCCATAGACTGCTGCTGGCCAAGGCTTGGTTTTTAAGTGAAAATAACCTACCCCCTTCCACCACCATGGTGTAAAATTAAACCCTCAAGTGATTTAAAAAACTACATTTCTCAATTAAAATCATCTCCCCATAATCCATAATGTAAAAAAAAAAAAAAAAAAAAACCTTCGTGTAAATTTCATGTAAATTATTGAGAGTTTACTGAATTCTGCTCTTCATTCACTTTTCCCCATGCCTTAAGTGTCTGGGCACTTGCTAAACTCCTGCAGAGCTCACTCCAGACATCAGAAAACCTAGTGCTGAAAACCTATCAGCTTGGTGATAGAACTCAGACCAGTTTTACCACCTGGGCCAAGGGAAGACCCCTCAGTGCCTAGTTGAATGTCTCTTCTCCAGACGAGGAGAAGTGATGATGGTAAGAATTATCCGGGAGAATGAACAAAAAATAGAGATAGCAGTCTAACGCTTTGGAACCAAACTTGTACCCCCCAATGGACAAGAGAATTTTCAGTTTGGGATTCCCTGTAGTAGAAGAATAAGCTGATTATTATTATCATTATTTTTTTTATTTTTTTACTGATTACCAGGAAAACTTTGCCTAGAGGGTTGAGTTTCTGACGTGAAAAGTGTGGGCAAATGGAGCCTGGCTGCTTAGCAGCTAAGTTCAGTGAAAGGATGGAGCACTGGGGAGAAGAATAGAATAGGTAGATCAGGATTATACCCAAGGAAATACGTTTAAATGAATGAATAAATGAGGTAGTTGAGGTGCTGGCCTTAGGCCCCAGTATAAAACTAACTCCCCTCTCCCAAAACCCACCATAGATGTTCCCACTCCCATCCTATTGACTCAGTTTTGATACTGTTGATGGTCTGGTAAAGCATTGCACTTTTCTTGCCCTTGATGGTGATCTTGTTGTTACTGATGCCTGTGAATGAGTAGATGAGGTAAGAGCATAGGAAGGGATAGATATTTTTAGGGGTGAACTTTCCTGGTTCCTGCTGGTCCTGGGACCACCTGGTAAAGTAGCAAACCAGTTTGTAGGCAGATCCTGGAGTAAAGTGAATAGAACCAAAGAGATTCTAGTGCTGTTGCCTTAGAGCCCAGAAAACCACAAGCTTCACCCCAAGACAGCCATTATCTCCTTGGCTTGTTCAGCCAGAGCCTCTGATAGTCATTCACCCTGAGCCCTTAACCGTGGCTCTTGAGTACCCAAACTGCAGTTAAGAAATGCATCGAGAGACAGAGATATCATCAATATGTAAAACACCACAGAGCACTGAGGTTCAGTGTGTATGTACGGATGAATGACACAGAGATAAGTAGAGAAACAGAGATGATCTATGTTACGTATGTGTGCACACAGACAACATTAAGTTTATATATGTATAGGGGAGAGAGAGACACAGAGAGAAACAGACTCAAAAATTAGAACCAGAACCACAAATGCATAAGAGATAAACAAAATCTCAGAGGCATAAATATATTAGTGTCAGAGAGTGATCAAGAGAGAAAAGCAGAACAAAGCAGAGACAGAAACTAAACATCAGAAATGGGAGAACCCAGTCCCCAGGGATCCAGACAGTAGTGACTCACAGACTACTTACCTCCCTGAAGTAGCAGCAAGACCACTGCACCTGTAGGAGATGGGTAGAAAGGGAAATCTGTTGAGTCATACCTGGTTCTTCTCTCCCAGACAATGGTAGTGGGTACATGGGTATACCTACATACAAGGCAAAGCCTCACTTCCTTTGGGCTTTCCAGCCACAGCTGCTGTGGTCTCTTTACAGGGCATGAGGTTCCCAGTGCTTGGGTGCTTTGGGGTCCCTACAATCCTAGGCAGAAGCATTTTCCAAACTGGCATCTAATTTACTCATTCATTTATTTAACCAACAAATATTTATTGAATCATGTGCTCTGTGTGTTGTCCTGGGCACTGAGGAAGATACAATGAAGTTGAAGCCATCCTGCATTCAAGGAACTCACAGTCTAGTGGGGAGTTGGATAGGTATATAGGTAGGGAGATCGTATGATCTACTGTCCACTGGGACACTTTGGAGAGTGAAAGGGGGCATTATTAATAATTACCCTGCAACAATAGCTTAAGCCAGGAGTGTCTTAGGCAAATTGAGATGAATGGTCACCCTGTGTAAAGGCAACTAACTCAAAACGGGGCAAGATGCGTGAGCCAGCTCTAGTAGTGTTCTAAGCTCACACGTTTGAGGTCATGTTCAGCCTCTTCCCCACAGGACACCTCCCTAGAAGGACCGGTGAGATCATTCTATCCTTGATTCACCCTCCTAAAGGGAAGGAAAGAGCAGGACTCTGAGTCCTGGACACTTCACCCAAGGGGCACCATTCATTGAACTGTGGTCCCCTGACTGGGGACTTTGTCCAGACTTACTCATACTAAGACACCTTGGGGGTCTGCAAATGGAGAAAAGGGCAGTTAAAAATGAGAGAGAACTTCACTTGACACAGCTTCTGAAACTGGTGCCTCCTTTCCAGAGCACAAGGCTGGGAAACAGGGGTTCCAGGGTTCTCTCCTGCTAATTCACATCCCTGTTAGGCAAAGGCAGGAATCTCCAGGTGGCACAAATGGTTAAGCGCTCAGCTACTAACAGAAAGGTCAGTGGTTCAGATCCACTCAGAGGCATCTTGGAAGAAAGTCTTGGCAATCTACCTCCAAAAGGTCATAGCCATTGAAAACCCTTTGGAGCACAGTTCTACTCTGACACACATGGGACCTCCATGAATCAGAATTGACTAGATGGCAACTAGTTTGTTTTGTTTTGTGTTTTAGGCAGGGGCCGGAGTAGGCAGGAAGCAGGTCCTCCATGCACCCGTTAAGTGATCAGGAGAAATTCTGATTGCCAAATCCGCTGTTGGGTCAGCTACCAGGACCCTTCCCCAAAGTGCTGCCCCTTAAAGGGCTGAACACTTTGACAGGAACGCAAAAGGCTCTTACCACTACGAAGTGGGCATCTCATGGCTCGAGAGTATAAAACAAGATGAAAGAGGTAAGGGCACACGAAATGGCTTCTTTTTCTCTATCAGACACATCTCTTTCCCTCCTGGTTAACTTCTCTTGTTCACCCATGACCAAAACCCAAACCTGTTGTCGTCAAATCGATTCTGATTCATAGTGACCTATAGGACAGAGTAGAACTGTCCCATAGAGTTTCCCTGGCTATGAATATTTACAGAAGCAAACTACCACATCTTTCTCCCACGGAGTGGCTGGTGAGTTTGAACGACTGACGTCTTGATTAGCGGCCGAGCGCTTTAACCATTGCTCCACCAGGATTCCTAGTTCTGTTTATTTACGGCTTCATCCCCATCTTCATCCAAATTCCCAGCCACTTTGTAGGCCAGAGTTTGGGATCAAAATTTTAGAGTTGAAAAGGGGATTTTAGAAAACGTTTAATCCAACAAACCATTTGCTGATGAGATATAGGGGGCTCCCCAAAATGTACCCAAATGATAGCATAGGAAAGATGTGACTCCCAAGACAATGCTCATACATCAAGAGAGCTTGGTCTCTGTCTTGTCTTGAGTGCCAGTTCTGACTGGTCAAGAGGCATCTCTGTGAAAATGAGCTCACCTCAGATGGCCCAAGGGACTCTGCTCACTGCTGCTCCTTTGTCCATTTAGGAAAGATCAGATGGTTTACCTAGGACAGTTGCACTAACTCAATAGTTTCTGGTACTGAGGTGAACAAAGAGACTGCATTCTCAGAAGAGGAACAAGATCACTTCTTCCAGAAGTCTATCTACACCTTGCCACTTCATTAACGTCTCTGTTGAATTATCAGCCCCATGCTCACCTGCCCAGAGAGACTTTAGGTCCATGGTGATTGCTCCCATATCCCTGGCCAACTCCCTCTGGGATGCACATACCCTGGGCCTTTTATGCTCTGAGGTTGCAACAGCCTGTTCTACAGGAAGGAAGCGAGAAGCAGCTCAGGAGATTGTAGGGACTTCCCAAAGCACAGCTGCCTTGTACAATTTCCTGGCAATGAGACCCAGGTTTGAGCAGTAGCAGGTTTTATCTGTCAGAGAGATCTACGGGGACAGCTGTTGAAGCGCCCTTTCATCCAGTCCCACTGAAGTTACCTAGTCCCACTTGTGTCTCTTGCCCCCAAATCCCCCTTTCCCATCATGCAAGATCTATCTTCTTTCCTTCGCCTCCCTCTGCACTCACATCACCTCTGGCCTGCTTATTCTTGATTATTTAGTCAGACAGTCCTACCACCCTAGTTGGTCTAACCCAGCAGCTATTCTTCACCTACCACCCCTTTTATCACCTTCTCTGTGTAGACTTTCCGACTTCTTACCTAGGCAGAATTAGCTGGTTGCTCTACTTGGAGATTTCTTTTCCTATCTTTATTGTAACATTTACCCCACTGTATTATAATGGATTGGTGTATATGTCTGTTTCCAGACCTGACTGTGCAATTAAGAACAACAAGCGGGGAGGGGGACAGTGTCCTCAAGAAATGTTTATTGAGGACCCTCCTTAACTTGTTAGAATTGAATTGTACTCCAGATTCAAAGATTCAGATTCTCAAGGCCCTATATGATCTGGTCTTTCCTTGCCTACCTCTCTCCAATCTCCTTTCATGTAACTGGCTTTCTCTCTTTGTGTGTGTGTGTGTGTGTGGGTGTGTGTGTCAGTCTCTCTGTGTGTCTCTGTCTCTCTCGGTTTTTGTTCTCACACTATATGCTAGTCTAATGAACCTTCTTTCACACCTTCCCACATTTGTTTCCCATTACCAGGTGTATGTCACTTGAGAGAGAAAAATGACCTAGGTCTGTTTTAACTCTTGCCTGAGGAAGAGCAAGGAGTCCTCAACATTGAAAGTTTGCTGTTCGGGGAGGCATACCAAAAAAGCAGGGGCTTTGGGGGAGCAGTGGCTGGAGGAAAACTTTGATTGCTTTCAGTGTGCCTGTAGGGAAGCTGATTCTGAGGGTGCTACCAGGTGAGAAAACGTCCCCTTTAAACATCTGCAGATCCAGCAAGCACGAAGACACAATGCTTGCTTTATGATAATACCTTTACCACTTTTCTCTCCTTGCTTTGACTAAAAAACCCAAACCAAACCTACTGCCATCGAGTAGATGCCAACTCATAGTGACCTCATAGGGTTTCTGAGGCTGTAAATATCTGCAGAAGCAGACTACCACATCTTTCTCCCTCAGAGCCACTAGTGGTTTTGAACTGCCAGCCTTTCGATTAGCAGTCCATCGCTTTAATCACTGCGAAGTGGTTCAGAAATCCTAATAGCAAGATGGGAAAGCATTTAAGTCAAGGAAAGAGGAAACAAAGATAAGCTGCAAGTGGCAGCCAACAGTAGGCCTGGCTGGGGAAGGAGATCCGATTTAACATTCAATCAAGCTTGGCAAGCCTTCATTATTATCTGGGACTGGCTAGTAAACTGAGATTGTCTTGGCAATTTATAGTGACTGTAGAACTTCTGTTAACTACAAATCAGCAGAAAAATCCAAGAAAAGGATAGAACCATTCCCACTGAGCAGCATACTTAAAACGACAGTGAAAGACAAAAATAAAATTGCTTTAAACAAAACGGGACTAATGAGGCACAGCAGTCCAGGGACAAGGACCAGAAGGCAGAAGGGGACAAGAAAGCTGGTGATAGGGAACCCAAGGTTGAGAAGGGACAGTGTTGACATGTCATGGGGTTGTTAACAATTGTCATAGGGCAATATGTGTACTAACTGTTTAATGAGAAACTATTTGTTCTGTAAACCT